CTATATGCACGTATGTATGTTATATATAATATATATAAGATATCAAGTGGTCTCCTTAAATGTTGAATTTTTATTTCTTTTCAGTTCTCAATATTTCAGATTTTTCTAGAAATACCATGTATTTTGGGTATAATCAAAACAATTACATATTTGTGTCAAGTGTAGGGTCCTAGAAGTTCTCAAAAAATGCTATAAATTATCACTCTCATTTATGCAGTGTGGTGTGAGTGCAGGAATAGACATATAGATGAGACAGAATAGAATCCAGAAATATAGCCATGTGTATACAGATATTTAATATATGATAAATGTAGCATTTGAAACCAGGGGAAAGGATAGGCATTACTTTCCATTTTGATAAAATAAAGTTCAAGCTCTACCTCATACACAAAATATCAGACTAATTATCTAAATTATAAAAATCTTAGAAGGAAACCTAGAATATTACATTAATCTTTGGGGGTGAAAAGTCTTCCGATGGAGAACATCAAACCCAAAAACCATAGAGGATTTAAACCTCATAAAAAGGCTAAATTAAAATCTTCTGTATAGTGAATTGCACCAGCACAAAGTTAAATTATAGAAAACAGGCTAGGAAAAAACATTTTACACCTCTATATAGCTCCCCCACATGAATAAAAAGACACAGTCCAGTCCAAAAGTGGACAGAGGCCCCTGAGACCGTGCATGGAGAGGTTCCCTACCCTTTACCCATCAGTGAAGGAAAGGTAACAACTCCACCCGTGACACCAGCAGAAGATTGAAATAAGATGCAGGTCACAATCCCTTTTCCAAACCCTTAAGTTCTGAGTTTTAGAAACCAGAGACGGTTAGAAAGTCGATAATGGTGTGTGTGTATAGGAGATATTACCACCTATTAGAACACTTGGTGGTCCCAAGGCAACAGCCTGGGTCAAACTCAGCATCTCTGCTGTGCAACATCTGAGCATTCACCCTCTGTCGGAAGAGACATCATAAACAAACTCAGTTCAGGTCAGGTTTTGCCATCAAATGAATTACATGAGCCTTTAAATTTTAAGAACTTTCTGGATTTGGTCATTGCAAATAGTTTGGACTATAGTATCTGTGGTAAGTCAGGGTGAAAGGTACCTTCTTTCATAGCTTACAGCTAGAATAGACTTGGGAAGGAAATTTAACACTTATTTGTCAAAATTTTAAAACCCCATGTCAATATAATTACTTTGAATTTACATTTAACCACTTCCATCAAGATAAATCCTAAATAAATAAATATTTAAATGTATAAACAGAAGTCCTAGAAGTATGGGAGAATTTTCTTTTTTAATATCAGTGTGGGAAATATTTATAAAAGTGATAGAAAATCAAGAAGCTGTAAAAATATCATTTGCTTCAACTACTTAAATATTAAAATATAAAAAGTTAGTTAAAAATGGGAGGGGGGGATATTTGCAACCCATATGACAAATCCACTAATATATAAAGAATTCCTAATTAAGAAGATAAACACCCAGGAGCCCGAGTGGCTCAGTCAGTTAAGCATCTGACTTTTGATTTCAGCCTAGGTCATGATCTCACAGTTTGTGAGATCAAACCCCATGCTATTAGCACAGAGCCCTATTTGGGATTCTGTCTCCCTCTCTCTCTGCCTCTCCTCACTCACTCTCTCTCTCAAAATGAGTAAACATTAAAAAAAAAAAAAAAAAAAAAGTAGGGACCAGTGGCACCTGGGTGGCTCAGTCGGTTTAGTGTACATCTTCAGCTCAGGTCATGATCTTGCATCCATGGGTTCAAGCCTTGCGTCGGGCTCTGTGCTGACAGCTCAGAGCCTGGAGCCTGCTTTAGACTCTGTGTTGCCCTCTCTCTCTGCTCCTCCCCTGCTTGCGCTCTCTCAAAAAATGAGAAAATGTTAAAAAAAATTTTTTTTAAATAATGGCCAACAACAGAGAAGGTGGCAAATGATAGTAAGTCATGCAGCTATTGGAAGAGAATATGGAAACTCTTTATAAACTGATATGAAATGGTCTTTAGTATATATTATTAAGGTTAAAAACAGTGCAGAATGTGTAGTTTGCTATTGTTTGTGTACAAAAGGGGTAATTTTTATAAATACTTGCTTTTATATACATGAAATATCTCTGAAAGTATAAAAAATATATAATATTGCATGCCTTCGAAGAAGGGATCTGCTCATGGTTCATGAGATTGAGTCCCATGGAGGGCTCTGTGCTGACAGCTGACAGAGCAGGGCCTGCTTGGGATTCTCTCCCTCTCTCTCTCAAAATAAATAAGCATTTTTTAAAAGAACGGATCTGGGTGGCTGTTGTTACTGTTTATGCTTTTGTACTTTTGAAAGTACATCTAAGAATATTACCTATTACAAAAATGGATGATAATTGTCTTACAACATAAAACATCTGTATTCTTTGAAGGGACTTTTTTTTTTTAATGTTTATTTTTGAGAGAGACAGAGTACGAGCAGGGGAGGGGCAGACACAGAATCCAAAGCAGGCTCCGTGCTCTGAACTGTCAGCACAGAGTCCAATGTGGGGCTCTAACTCAAGGGCCGCGAGATCATGACCTGGCCGCTTAACCAACTGAGCCACTCAGGCGCCCCAAAAGGGCTATATTCTTTGACCTAGGAATCTATCCTACAGACCTACTTGCACATGGACATAAAGATATATATGTGAAAGTTTATTCCATCAATAGTGAAAAATTGGGAAAAAATGTCCATCAGTAAGGAAATGGTTCTATAAATCATGGCATACAGTGCAGCCCTTTAAAAAATGAGATACAACATGGAAAGATGATAGCTATTAAGTATTGAAAAGCAAGATGCAGAATAGTAAGATACAGAATGGCTGTTTGTGTTTAAGATGAGTGTGTGTACAGTTAAAATCACAGAAGAGGGTCTGGAAGAACATTAGCACATACTTCTCACTGGTGGAGGGTCTGGCATTAACGTGGGAAGTGTTGGGCATCAGTTTCTCCCCAGAGCAGATTCTGCAGTGGAGGAGTAGCCCCCATGATGAAAAGTTGGGGTGGGGGGGCAGGACCATCCCACCACAACCCACCAGCCTCCCGTGGCCCCACCACGCACTGGGGCTGGCAGGCCTAGGCCCCGAGGGGCGGTCAGGCAAAGCCTCAAGGTGCAGGAGCAGGATCTTCCTAGAACAGGGCCTCGAGTGCTATGTCTGCCGAGGGGGAAGGGCTCCTTTTTACAACGGACTCTTTCATGTAAAAGAAAATAAAGAAGGAAAAAGAACGTAGAAGGAGCCAAACCACCTTTGCCCTGTGATACGCCCACAGGACAGGGTGTGTTTGGCCCAGGCACAACTGCCTTGCTCACCCTCACTTTTCGCCTCCTCTGTCTCCTGCAGATCCTTCTGGCTGGTGGACGGGTCGACTACGAGGCAAGCAGGGCCTGTTCCCCAACAACTATGTGACCAAGATCTGAGGCGCACAGAGACTCTAATGCACAGGCAAAGGAGCTCCAGACAGGGAAGGGGACATTTGGGGGCTCTCCTTCTGATCCATAGCGAGCAATTGCTTCCTTGTCCAAGGCCTGGAGTTTTTCTGGCACCTTCCCCATGGAGGATATTGAAAAGCTGGGTTGGGGACAGGGAGTGTCACTGCATAAATGATCCTAAAAGGTAGCCTCTTCATAGGAGCCCAGGAGGGCAAAACCACCACCCACTAAGATTTATTTATTGTATTTAAACCTGGTGAGAGGACAGGCGAGGTCCACTTGGACCTTGTTGGCTCTATCAAAACAGCACCCCGCTCGCTCACCAGGCCCAGGGAATGGCTGTAGGCGGCCACTGACAAGTGCCTTTAGTCAAAGAGCACATTTATTTCCTCCCTCTTTTCCTTACCTGACACACACATTCCTCTCTGCCACTTTCCTTCAGGGAGGACCTGCCCTCTTTGCAGGCCGGGCTTGACATGAGCGGGCACTTCCCATGCGAAGGCCAAGGGCCAGCGTGGCCTGCTGAGCCCCCAGGTGCAGAGGGCAGCTGGTTTACACTTTGCCGGGACCCATCAGGCTGCCAGGCTAAGCAGGGGCTGGGCTGTTGGCCTTGCTTTCTCTGGGTCTTCAGTTGGAATGTGGCTGGCCCATGTTGGTTTTGTGTTTAATGCTGTACCTATTATAAGAAGGATCTCTTTTTTTCAAGCTGTACATTTATAAAAACAGATCATATACTGTATATATAAAAATCTCAAGATGGTAGCAACATGTATGAATGTACTAAGTAGTATTCCACTGTACTTATTCATAAGGTAGGTTTTATTACAAAACTCCCACCAGGTACTTACAAATGTGCACTACTCCTTTTCAACTATAGAATCAGTGTTACTGCTTTCTAGCCCAGCCCCTGCAAACCCTTCCCAATCCTTTCCCCGTAGGTAATTTTCCTCTGCCCCCTGTGCCCCTCCCCTTAACTCCTAAATAAATAAAGGAATCATGAACTACCTGTTCTTTTGTGACATTTGTTATAGGGTGAATGGTGTCCCCCACCCCCAAAAAACATGGTGAAGCCCTAACGCCTATGACCTCATAATATGACCTTATTGGGAAATACAGGTCTTTATAGAGATGATCAAATTAAAATGAAGTCATTAGGGTGGGCCCTGAACCAATATAACTGGTGTCCTGATAAAAAGGGGACATTTGGACATGCATGGACACGCAGAGGGAAAATGATGTGAAGGAACAGCCGTCTACAGCCAAGGAGAGGGGCCCGGCCCAGATGCGCTCCCTTACGGCCCTCAGGAACCAGCCCTGACCACACACAGATCTCGAACTTCCAGCTTCAACAGCTTGTAAGACACTGAGTTTCTGCCGTTTAGCCACCCAGTCTGTGGCGCTTTGTGAAGGCAGCCCTAGCAAACCAATGCAGTGTTTATTGCAGTAATGGTGAAAAGTCAGAAATGATGTAATATCTATTGATAAGGGAATGGTTTTCAGGGGACACTCACCTTTCTGCCTCTCCTCCAGGTTGCCTTGGTCATTCTGAAGCTACTGGGAAAGTAGGGTTTGACCAGCACACACCTTTCTGTCATTCCAAGATCCTCGAGTCCGTGGGAAAAATTATCAGGGGTTTCATATAAGGAAACAAATGGATCTGAATTTGGAACAAGTAAACCATTTGATTCTGCATTTTCAAGAATAGGGAACAAACTTCATTTGGTAACAATAACAACATTTAAAGTAGATTTCCGTTCCATTTTGTGACCAGTTGAAAGGAAAATAAAGCCATAATGTGATGACACGAGGAAAGGTAATCCCTGTTTACACCAAGAGTCTCTTAATATTTGACAAAGGATCTTCACATTCCTGGACTCACGCAAAGTGGGAGGAAGGCGCTAGAACCAGAATTCGAACGAAGGAGCATCCTGGACCCCCCACAGCCTCAACACGCAGGCGGCTTTCTCACAAGCAGGACTGCCAAGATCACCTTCCATTGTTACCACACACCCTTGGCAGGCTCGTTTTTCCCCCCTGAAAATCAGTCCTGGGATAAAAGAAGACCAACTTTAAAAGAATTTGGGGCCAAGTGACAGGACAGCCTGAGTTAAGCATAGGTTATTTTGAAAAGGGCTATCTTGAGGATAAATATTAGCTCAAGCTCTGGAGGAACTAAGGTGACCTTGATGGGCAGTGGAAGGAATCACTGAGAAACTCCTTTAAAAAAAAATGTATTTGTAAAAAAAGGATGAGACTGTACCATTTGAGACAACATGGATGGACCCAGAGGGTATTATGCTAAGTGAAATAAATCAGACTGAGAAAGACAAACACTATATGATTCCACTCATCAGTAGAATCTAGGAAAAAAAGAAACAAAAATAGACCTATAAATACAGAGAACAAACTGGTGGCTGGAAGAGAGAGGGAGGGAGGGAGGTTGGGGGGACAAAATGGGTGAAGGTGACAGGGAGATATACAGGCTTCCAATCACAGAATGAATAAGTCATGGGAATAAAAGGCACAGCATAAGGAATACAGTCAATGGTACTATAAGTGATGTAATGGGACAGATGGTAGCTACACTTGTGAGCACAGCATCACGTATAAACTTGTCAAATCACTAAGTTGTACACCTGAAACTACAGTAGCATTGTGTGTTAGCTATACTGAAAAAAAAAAAAACTAATGGCTTTACATAATTTTCCTAATGTTATGCATTAAAGCACAAAATAACCCAGGGGCGCCTGGGTGGCTCAATCAGTTAAGCATCATCTGACTCTTGATTTCGGCTCAGGTCATGATCTCATGGCTCCTGGATTTGAGCCCTGCATCGGGGTCTGGGCTGACAGTGCAGAGCCTGCTTGGGATTCTCTCTCTCTCTCTCTCTCTCTCTCTCTCTCTCTGCCCCTCCTCCCCCACCTCCAAATAAATAAACTTAAAATTTTAAAAATGGGGAGAAAAATCAATCCTGGCTACTTTTAGTGATTGGCCTTTAAAACCGGAGTGTAACCAGGACCCCTCAGGCTCTAGGTGACAGCGTAGGAACTGAGTCCAACCTATGGACAAGCAGCAGGAAGAGCCCTGGCTCAGGACCACAGAGCAAGCCCCACCTCTGCACCCAGAAGCCTCGCCTAGTGCCAGGCCCAAGGGGGTCCTCAACAAGTGATGCTTGAGTAGGTGAGTAAACACTTGTTTATAGGTGTGAAGTCCTTATCCTAGGCTTCTCTTGGCCCCGTATCTAGCCAGGCCTGCCATTTTGTTCACTGTTCAGCTAAGTAGTCGTGTGGTTAGTTTGGGAGTCACCTCACCTGGGAGAGTGTAAAGAGGATCAAGGGGCCACCCCTGCCTTCTACAATACCCCATCCTGTTTGGAATGATGGTATGCTTACACATATATACATATACAGAAGTAGAAAATGCAGTGTGCAGATGTGACAGATCCCTTCAACCAAAGGTTTTAAAGTAACCAAGTACCAAGTGAGCAGGCTTGAATGTTCCCTAGGACAGAGATGTTCAAACGAGCAATAGACCAGCAGTTCTCAAACCCTTTGGCCTCAGAACCCCTTTATACTCTTCAATGTTATCAACATTTAAAAAAATAATAAAAATAAATAAAATTAAAAAAAGGGGAGCCTGGGTGGCTCAGTTGGCTGAGTGTCTGACTTTGGCCCGGGTCATGATCTCACAGTTGTGAGTTCAAGCCCCGCGTCGGGCTCTGTATTGACAGCTCTGAGCCTGGAGCCTGCTTTGGATTCTGTATCTCCCTCTTTCTCTGCCCCTCCCCTGCTCGTGCTCTTTCAAATAAACATGTTAAAAAAAATTAAAATAAAACAAAATATACTCTTCAATGTTATTGAAGACCTCAAAGAGTTCTGCTTTTGTCTTTTATAGCTATCTGTATTTACCATAAGAGAAATTAGAAAATTAAAAAAATTTTTTTAATGTTTATCTTATTTTTGAGAGAGAGAGCACAAGCTGGGGAAGGACAGAGAGAGAGGGACACAGAATCTGCAGCAGGCTCCAGTCTATCTAAGCTTTCAGCACAGAGCCCAATGCGGGACTCAAACTTGTGAACCATGAGATCAAGACCTGAGCTGAAGTCGGTTGCTCAACTGACTGAGCCACCCAGGAGCTCCTAAAACAGAAAATTTTAAAACACCAACAAACACACATACACATTCCACTAACCACCAGAGCGATGACATCATCACTTCTCATAGCCTCTGGAAGATTCCACCTTACACTAATGACAGACAAGAACAAAAAAAGGCAAACATCTTAGTATTATCATGAAAATAGTTTTGACCTCACGGCCTTCTTGAAGGAGTCTCAAGATATCCCAGGGGACCCCAGGCCACATTTTGAGAACCACCAGAGGGACTAAGTACTAATAAACGGGTTAGAGCAGGCAGCGCAGTTGGCTCTCTGAAAACATCATGCAAAAGGGTCATCTCTTCCACAGTGCTTAGGGAAGCAAGTCAAAGCCCATGGAGAGGGCAAAGGGTGAGGCCTTTTTTATAAGCCTGTTCCCCCAACAGGTGTGAAAACCATGCACACGTGTTGTCTCAGCCCATCTGGTCAAACCTGATACCACCATTACCAAGCCCAGCCCTAATGGGGTGGAAAGGTGATGGGAAGCAGTTTCATCTTTGAGAGACAGAGAGAAACAGAGCATGAGCAGGGGAGGGTCAGAGAGAGAGGGAGACACAGAATCGGAAGCACGCTCCAGGCTCCGAGCTGTCAGCACAGAGCCTGACACGGAGCTTGAATTCACAAACCGTGAGATCGTGACCTGAGCTGAAGTCGGATGCTCAACCGACTGAGCCACCCAGGCACCCCAACAGTTTCCTTTTTAAAGAAATTCCTTGTGGGGTGCCTGGGTGACTCCATCGGTTAAGCGTCTGACTTCAGCTCAAGTCACAATCTCACGGTTCGTGAGTTCGAGCCCTGCATCAGGCTCTGGGCTGACAGCTCAGAGCCTCAAGTCTGCTTTGGATTCTGTGTGTGTGTCTCTCTCTCTCTGCCCCTCCCCTGCTTGCACACTCTCTCTCCCAAAAATAAGTAAACATCAAAATAAAGAAAGAACATTCCTTCCAAAGTGCACATACCATGTCTACTCAGGTTCCAGCAGCTGGAACTTAGTCATGTGGCCTCAACTGCCAGGGAGGCTGGGAGAGTCTTGCTGGGGGCAGTTAGTTTCGGTGTGGAGAGCAGCTTATCCCAGGCACCAGGGAGAGATCTTCCTCCTCCTTCAGGCATGGCTCCTTCCAGGCAGAGATGTCCACAAGAACAAGTATGAGACAACATGGCTATGCATCCATGTAACTGACGATCACTGACTTGCCACAGAGCAGGGCTTATACATATCCAAATCTTTTCTCTTCCGGACTCCCTCTGAACTCCGCAGACCTCCTGAGTGAAGCTGGGCAGACTAAAGGCTGGCCCTGCCTCTACTTGCTACTTTTACAGTGGCTTCATATCCAGGTGGGGTCAGAGTCCAGTTTCGGGAGTACGGTGTGTACAGGATGCATCTTTGGTGGAGAACCTGATGATGTTCCTGGCACCTTTCACTTTTATGGTCAAAGAGTGGGAGCCATTCTGCAACATCACTCCGTTTCCTGCCTTGTTTTGTGTCGTTCCAGAGGCCTAGCTGGTCTTCACAGTTGCTCCTGAATTTAGGAACTTATTTTTACTCTTACCAACTACTTGATGCCTTTCCTGCCTACAGTACTGCACCCGCCCCCTCTAACCAGCATGAACTACTCTAAAACCACTTAGCAAATGAGAAGGATCAGTGCAGTTCACTACCTTGCCCAAGGTCATGCAGCTCTGAAGTAGAGGAACCCAGCAATTGACCCCTGATCTGACCCCAATGCCCATGCTTTTCATCTTTGTCTTCAATCAAGCAAATAACAAAGAGCTTGATAGTCTGTCAACCTTTCAACTTCCAATATCTTTTTCTCAAAAATCAAAAACCAAAATTAAGAAAAAAGAAAAACTCACAAACAGGACTCAACAGCTATAAATTTGTAAACTCTCTCTCTCTCAGAGACAGCAGGCACACGAGCAGGGGAGAGGTAGAGAGAGAGGGGAGAGAATCCCAGGCAGAAACCATGCTGTCAGCACAGAACCTGACATGGGGCTCAATTCCACAAACAATGAGATCATAACCTGAGCCGAAATCAAGAGTCAGATGCTTCCGAGTGAACCACCCAAATGCCCCTGTAAATTGCTTTGACAGGCAAGAGCTGTGCCTAACATATCTTTCAATGCCCAATGTCCATCTCATTCCAAGACCACCACCTCCTTATAATAATAGCCACTAACATTCAAGCACATCCAGACACTGCTAAGGGCTTGGCATACTTTACTTTGCACTACAACACTATGAGGTAGATGCTCTTACCCCCATGTTACAGACACAAAAACAAGGCACAGAGATCATAGTTGCTAAGTAGACTCAGACCCATGAGATGCAGCTTCAGCATCTGTGCTTTTCAAATACTATGGTTCCATCACCTCATTTTCTAGTTGCAATGCTTTTATATTATGATTTGTACTTTTACAGTAGTAATTTCTTATTTCATAAGTATAACACTTTAGTTTTGGATGCCTGCTATGGCACATAGGAAGGATCTTAAAGGTCTTTTTTTATGACATCCTGTAAATAGGAATTTCCTGAGTCGGGGTATTTAATATTTAACTAAGCAAAATATGTAATAAAGAAGCTATAAAATGTCTCAGAATAGTCTACAAAACCCATCTCTTCTTGACGAGAAGCTGGAGCTCAAGCATCCCTGGGAAGCGAAAGCTTCCTCGCAGGGTCTCACTTCATTACTATTCACATGTGTGACCCAAGTCAGCCTAAGGCTGCCATGGGAACGAGTCTCACTCAAAGAGAGATACTTCTAAAGCTTTACACTAGGACTTTAACACAGAAGACTCCCATTCCTCCAAGTGCTCACGCACATAAAGACTTACTTAGGCGGCCCAGCCTGCCTAGGGAGAGGGGTGGGAAGTGAGCACTAGCTGGAGCCAGCCAGGCTCGCCTCCCAGGGCAGCCAGAAGCCACAGCTGAGTCTCAGAACCAGCACCTGCACATCTCACTGTCACGCAGAAGGCAGCATTTACCACACTCTGGACTGGGGAACGGCGGAGTTCAGAGTTTACTGCAAAGCTTCTCCGAGCCTTTATGAATCGTAATGTGTTTGCAATGTTTCCCGAATGTATTTGACTAGCTCCTTTTTCTCAAAAAGCAATTAACATGTGCTGAGCTAATAGTTTGGGAAGTTGTTGCTGTAAGACACTCATTTATTTTATGTGTTTTGGTTTTGTTTTTAGTGGTTGGAGACTGTGAATGCATTCACACTTAGAGAATAATGCTAAATGTGATCAACTGCCCGCCAAAAAAAAACAACAAATAGTAACCCATGAAATAGGAAAATGCATTCCAAGTTTCAACATTAACAAGGTGTCACAGACCCGTTTTTGTTTTCCAGTGGTGGCCCCTTAGGACTGACATTCCTGGTCCCCACCATGCCTTTGAAGGAGAGGCATACTGTGAGGGCTGCTTCTGGTAGCCCTCAACCCAGTGGGCCAGGCGTTCCTGTATAGGAATGAGAAAATAGTTGAGTACATTCTGAAAAGGAACGGTCATAGTTATCCTCCCGTTTTCAAATTTCATCATGAATCTTTTTATATCTCAGAAGTTTAAGAATGGGTTAGCATTCACTGAAGCCAAGTTCTAGTTTTTTCCATTTGAGAAAGTGGCAGGAAGATCTTTCCCAAAGCCATAAAGGCAATAATTTACATACTTCTCATAATATTTCAAAAAGAAATTAGTCAACCCAAGCTTCCACTGACTTCTTTCCACTATAGAATACACAAATAAATACACATAGGATACCTGAAGAAAAATTAATAGCTTTATTTTTCCTCAATATACATTTAGAAAATAGGTCTAAGAAAAGGTTTCATGAAATAGACCAGACGACTATGTACAAAGTGAAGAGTTCCAAATCAGCAAGTCAAAGCACACAAATGAAGCACTCTTCCCCGAGGGCCATGGCAGCCTAGGACCGTCCCATCAGAGGGGACGCAAGCTCTTGGATGGCTTTTGAGTTCAGCTGAGGAATCGTGCTGATCTTCAGGAGTTTGCTGCTTGCATACTTATTCTTGATGGCCTGCAGAAGTCATCTGTGATTAAGCACGCATCAGGACCCCCTACCTTATACCATGTTCCTAGTCTAATTCACAAGTATTTAAGGGCCAGACCCACAATCTCCAACTAGTGCGATGATGCTGAATCACTGAAGCCAGCTAGAACTCTGAGGTCATAATGTGTTGCACCCGACAATTTCCTTCCATACCTAGCAATGGATAAAGCCCAGCTGGTAGCACAGGTGATGGAGGAATAAATGGTGTCAAGGTCCAAGGAGCAGGCTCTCTCTCCTATGTTGCCAGAGGGTTGGGAGGTAGGTGCTGTGTTTATCATACCTAAGCACCATCACGACAGAACAGGTCTGCCAGGACCGGCAGCAACAACTGGCAATAAAAGCAAGTGGCAACCAGTGCTTAGCGGGTCCCAGACAACAATACCCTAAGGACTGAAAACATGTCACACTTCCATGGTGTGCTAAATCATACAGAAACTACATGCAAGGAAACTACATGCTTGGCACAAATGCCTTGCTCTTTGTCACCACACCTGTGGTGATACTCGGCATCACACAAGCACAGGACAGCACCCAAGCTCCTCTGACTCCTCCTCTCAGGTGGGCCCCACAGAGACAGATACCAGACCCCGAGGAGCCTTTCTGAATGGGCTTCTTGCCCCTCCCTCTTCACCATGATTTGGTCACGGTCCCAAAAGATCCTGGTCAAAGGCTCTGAGTGATACCACCCCAAAACCCGAGTCTTCACGGAGCCCTTGCTGTTCCAGATGACATGGGGAGTGCCTTCCCTGATGCTGAGTGCCCTGCCCAGGATGCTGGGACAAGGTGGGGAGACACACTGAATGGCCATCTGGCTGACTACCTGGGGCCTGGACCTGGTTAGCCTAGCTACTTGGTTTTGAAGAAAGTCTGCTTTTCGGATACGTCAGTATGCTCCATCCCCTGCTGGACTAGAAAAGAGTTCGTGCTAAAATAGACTCTCACATATGCCAATATTACGTTTACATGAAAACGCAAACGCACATACGTACACATACTCTCATTCACAAAACCCATAATCTAATGCTTTCCACGGTTGAGGGAGGAGTACTTACGATGAATTTCGTTAAGTTTTCGTTAACTTTCACGACATTTTTGGCCATGTGCTGCATGACTTCCAATACTTCATTCTCTGTGTATCCAGTGTAATACTGCTGTTTTAAGTTCTGGAACACAATGAAGAGAGAAGGTGCAAGATAAAGCCTCCGCTTCTTTAGAAGAGCACATCTTATACATGCTAACATCACTTATCACTTGCATAAAAGCTATACAATGATATTCCTACTTTCGTAAAATTCAGTAACAGCCCTAAACACTACCATTGTACCAGCAAAGCAGCCAGTAAATGCAAGATGACTCTGGCTCTGAGCAAGACTAAATTAAGACACTGTGCAACTTCAGCTAAATCAAGTGACAAAGTTCCCATAATTATTATTATTTTTAAAAAGGTTGCAGGGGTATGTAGGGTACTCCAAGTAACAAAGCTTTCATGCTTCTATCACCACACCGGGGTGGGGTGGGGGGATGGAAAGTGGGGCAGAGTAAAAATAAAACCCAGCAAAGGAAAGCCCCTTTCAGAGTAATGGCAGAGACCTGGGACAAGCACATCTCACACATACCACCACCACCACCGCCCCCCCTGTCCCAATCAAAGCCCTACTGGACAGCGGCTGGTGGGGAGCTGGACAGAGCTGATACCCATATTGTTAGGGAAAGAGGTTCATTATTAAGAATAAATTAGGCCATGGGCCGCAATCTAATCTACAAAATCCAGAAGAATTAAAGACTGCCCGGGATTCTCTCGTTGGGCACTGTGTAGTTAAGCACTGGAGAACAGAGAGCAGAGAAGCCTCTAGGGGTAGAGGCTTTGCGACCTAGCCTCCTGGAGAACAAAGGTCAAGCAAAAGGACAGTTGTTGATTGACAGTAAGATCTATCATGTGTGAAGATAGGTAACTTAACTTTATTTCAGTTCTGTGATAAAATTCTAAAAGCCAAAGTACATCCGTCTCATATGCACAATCTAATTGGGAAGATAAATCACAATTTAATCTTTTTCTTTCTTACTTTTTTTTTTTTTAAGAGAGAGAGAGGGAGTGCACGTGAGCAGGGGAGAGGGGCAGAGAGAGAGAATCTTAAGCAGGCTCCACTCTCAGCATAGAACCTGACACAGGGCTCAATCCCACAATCCTGGAATCATGACCTGAGCTGAAATCAAGAGTCAGATGCTCAACTAACTGGGCCATCCAGGCACCCCAATCACAATTTAATCTTATTCCTAACATATTTTTTTTTTTATTATTAATTTAAGGTAGGCTCCTTGCCCAATGTGGGGCTTGAACCCACAACTCTGAGATCAAGAGTCTCATGCTGTACCCACCGAGGCTGCCATGTGCCCCAATCCTAAAATAATTTAAAGAAAAAAAGAACAAAGCAAGATTAATTCTGAAATAACACACAACCACCGGCATTTACAAGTCAATTCCCAGAAAACGAGGAGACCTAGTGCTAGTAGGTTCAGAGCCCAAAGAAGACATGTCCCAGAGGAAAGTAATTTAGCTAAAATGAGCCACTGGTACCAGGACCCTGTATCATCCATGTATCAGCAGCCTTGTTGCCTCAAGTTTTTTATTTCAAAAAATTTCAAATTATTTCAGAAAAAATGAGATAATATAATGAACATCTGGACATCTTTTGTGCAGATTCACCTATTAACATTTTGCCACTTTCTCGTTTTCTCTCTCATGGTGTCTGCAGCTAACTCAGTTGCAAATGGTTTAGCAAGAATTGTGTATGTATGTATTCACACACAATTTTTGAACTATGTGACAATGAGTTGCAGACACCATTACACATCACTTCTAAATGCTTCAGAAACATCCCCTAAATAGTATTTTCCTATCTAGACACAAAGCTTTTCACATAAAAAAATCAACATTTCCATAGTATCATCTAGAATACAGTCTATATTCAAATTTCTCCAACTGTTCCAAAAATATCTTTCATAGATTTGTCTTTTTAGATCCAGGTCCAATTAAGGTACATGCAGTATATCTGATCTTTGGGGGTTTTTTTACTTAAAACAACTCCTATTTTCTTGGCTTTAAATGACAACTTGAAGGCCCTAGGCCAGTTACTTTTAGAACGTCCCACATTTAAATCTGAGTGTTTCCTGATGACTGGATTCGTGTCAAACATCTGGGGCATGAATTTCACGGAGATGATAATGCATTACTTCTGATAATGCACCAGAACATAGGTCAAGTCAGGTGCTCCTACCACTGGTGATGCCAAGCTTGATCACCAGGTTAAGGTGGTAATTTGCAGACCCCCTATCATAAAGGTACAGTTTTTCTTCAGCATTATTACATACCTATGAGGTGATATTTTGAGACCATGTGACTCGTCCTCCAAAATTACCTCACCTAATGATATGAGCATCAGTTGATCCTCACTTGAATCAGTTTTTACATTAGGGGTTAAAATTTTATTATTTATTTTAATATGTATTTTGAGAGAGTGTATGTGTGCACGAGCAGGCAAGGGAGGAGAGAGAGATTCCTAAGCAGGCTCCGTGCTGTCAGTGCAGAGCCCGATACAGGGTCTCATCTCAAGAACTGTGGGATCACAACCTGACCCAAAACCAAGGGTCAGAGGCTTCATCAACTGAGCCACCCAGGCGCCCCTAAAATTTGATTTCTAACTCTACCATTCTTTCTGCTTTAAATAGCTGGTATCCTGATTAAAAAATAATAATAATAATAAAGAGCCCCTCTTCCATTCTTTCTTTTGTATCGTTATAAATGCATGGATTTTTAAAAATGTGTTACAATCAGGGCGCCTGGTGGCTCAGTTGGTTAAGTGTCTGACTTCAGCTCAGGTCATATCACAGTTTATGAGTTTGAGCCCTGTTATTAGGCTCTCTGTTGTCAGCACAGAGCCTGCCTCATCCTCCATCTCTCTCTCTCTCAACAAATAAACATTTTTTAAAAATGCGTTACAATCTATTACTGTCACTATTCTTTTTTTTTTTTTTTTTACATTTATTCATTTCTGAGAGACAGAGAGAGACAGAGCACAAGCGGGGGAAGGGCAGAGAGAGAGGGAGACACAGAATCCAAAGCAGGCTCCAGGCTCTGAGCTGTCAGCACAGAGCCCGACGCGGGCCTCGAACTCACAAACTGCAATATCATGACCTGACCCGAAGTCAGATGCTTAACTGACTGAGCCACCCAGGCGCCCCCGTCACTATTCTTTACAATGCTCAGACTTAGCCAGTAAGAGCCCTTTCAAGCCAGTTCCTATGTCCTTTTCACGTGACCCCCACTGATCCTTGAGAATTTGCTTGGTGTCTATTACAAACTGATCTAGTCTCACCTTATACTTTTTCTCCCCCAACCCTGAGAGCAGCTATCTCTCAAAGGTGGCCTAGTTCCTAGCGGGTAATGGTACTTAGTATCCATTATGTGGGCACTAGGTATGATCATTGCTACTGGGTTATCACTGTTTCCGGGCCCTCTCATGATTAATTGACCGATATTTCCAAAATAGATTTAACGTCATAGGGGTTTTCCTTTGTTTTTAATTGTTAATATTATCCCTCTTCTTATTGTGAAAATTTTAGTCCTTAATAACATTGAATGCTTGTTTTACCCTAATATTCCTAAATAGTTTCACAATTATAATAACAGATTACTATTAACAATACATCTCCCAAGTAAACTTTAAGTATGTTACCTCTTTTGGTTCTTTGTTTTATCTAACCAGATAAAGTAATTCTTCCCTCAGTGTTCTATTACCAGTTTGATATATGGTGACATTGTTGTTTCTGTGTAATTCCAGTTAGGGTTTGCATAAACACTCATATTGTTCAGAAGTCAAAAAAGTTACATTATATTGTATACAGCTGATAAAAAATTACAACCACAAGTCTTGCTCCCATCCCCAGCCTTCTACCCTGTTGCCACCCAACCCCACAGGTATCATTTCCATTAGTTTCTGGTCTATTCTTCCTGTATTTTTTTTTTTTTTAATTAGGAAATACCTAAGCACACATACGTACTCTCTCTCTCTTATTCCCCTTCTTTCTTACAACAAATGTGTGGAGGGACAGCCCTGCCATGGTGTCCTGGCAAGCTTGCAGGCAGCCACATAGGGCCAGGCAAAGGCCTGAAGCCCAGCTGATGTGTCTTGGCAGAATGCTTGGTGATCCTCCTGGAATGTGAGGGGAGGGAGGCTGGGAAGAGCGGCTCCCACCCTCCTCCATATCTCCCCTGAGAGGCTATCTTGAGACCGTTTCTTAACACCTGGGCTCTGAGGAGGCTTTTGTTCTGCTGCTCTTGGGGCACAACTACAGATGATAAAACTGCTTAGTACCAGTCTAGAGTTGGCTCCTTCACAAAAGGGTATCCCACGACTCCCACTGCAGTCACCTGGCCCCTTTCGTTTTGGTTCTTGTCCCTTTTGGTGCGTGAGATAAGGACCACAATTGCTGGCAGCTTTGACTACTTGTATAAACCTAAAAGTGGCTCCTTTTTACCTTTACTGGCTCAATCAGTTGGGCCTTGGCCCTGCTTTTGTCTTAGATGCTTGACGCCTTGCTGGTTTCATTTAACCAAAGATCCCAGAAACCTTAGCATACCAGTTGTAGGCAGCCATGCACAGCCTTCACAACTGTATAGTTAGCACCTGGGTGCCATGGTGTGCTTACCTAGTCTACGTCTGAAGCATTCCAAGCAGCTTTCTTTTAGGCTTCTGGATTTTAACAATTGCTTTAACAACACTGTGGTGAAAACGGTAAGACCTTTCATATCCAGAGGGTCTAAATATAACCTAATTTCTTCTTACCCATTTTCCTTGGCCTATAACTTTCTGGGACAGGCAGGATGCAGCCGCTGCCACCTTCGAAGGGTGATAATGCACCATGTCATAGTCAATGAGAGTCAGCTCCATCAGGTATTTGGCTAAAGTATGCTGTTCCACATCGACCTAGGATTGAATAGCCCAGAGAGGAAGAAGCACAGCTATTATCACTGTCTTGCAAAATCACAGGTGAAGGCCTAGGAGCTGAAATCCACTCAATTCACTCGTCCTTCCCAGCAAGTGCCCTATTCCACAGTATATTAAAAACACAGAGCATGAGGTCTTTTAAGAATTGAGGAGATAAAACATTAGGACTTAATGAGAACATGTTTTCTATAAATGTTTAAGTTTTCCTTTAATTGGATCAATGTTTCTAGCATAAGACAACAGGGGGAAAATAAAGTCTCATATGGAATCGGAGGCACTTACCTCCCCAGCTTTTGAGGCCCGCCTTAAGAAGTGCAGTGGCAAAGGTCGACCCAACTCAAATTTCAGTTCTTTCAAAATCAATGTTTCCATTTCTCGGATTTGGGAGCTTGTATAAGCATTGTCTGTGATGTAAACAAAGTCTTCGATATTTGGTGAAAACATCTCTTCATATTTGGAAGCCAAGAGCAGAGCCGTAATCCCAACCAGTTGAAGCTTCTTACGGGAAACCGGTTGAACCTAATTGAAGAAGAAGGTGTCAAAAGTCATGTCCGACCAGAGGACTGGGGCACTGGGGGGAAGAAAGTGAGAGCGAATCACGTCCTGCAGAAGTACACATCATCTCTCCTCATCCCCCTCTTACGAGCACAGGTAACCTGTGTATTAATTGCAGGTACCATCAGGGGCTCCTGGCTGGCTCACTAGGTGGAGCATGTGACTCTTGATTTCAGGGTTGTGGGTTCAAGCCCCACAGTGGGTGTAGAGATTACTGAGTATTCACTCTGTGCCGAGCACAGTGCAAAGATTTCAGTAATCACCTCACTGAATCCTCGCAAAAATCCCAGGAAGTATATGTATTTTTCTCCACATACAAAGAGATGGGCTAAGAAGAGATTCAGACACTAGCCCAAGTTCACTCAACTTCTCAGTACGGAAGAAATAAGCCTGAGAACCAAGCTCCTGGTCTGTGCTCCAGTCTCATCATCCTGGCTTGAACATCTGGGGGAAGTTCCAACATGGCACTCCACACAGTCTGCATCAAGATAAGGTCAAGCCAAAAAGCAGGCTTAAATAATGGATGCCTAGGGATGTGGAAGGGGCTATCTCAAACATTTCCTTAATCATTCATTACCAAAAGTACGCTCATTATTCAACCTGAGGTATCTTCAAAGATGCTTCAGAGTCAGGGAAAATCTCAGTCCAGGGTCTGAGTGTTTCCCTTCATTTTCTTTTTCTTTTAAAGTTTTTTTTGTTGGTTTTTTTTTTTACATTTATTTATTTTTGAGACAGAGAGAGACAGAACATGAGCAGAGGAGGGGCAGAGAGAGAGAGAGGGAGGACACAGAATCCAGAGCAGTCTCCAGGTTCTGAGCTATCAGCCCAGAGCCTGACATGTGGCTCGAACTGAGGGAGCCACGAGATCATGACCTGAGCCAAAGTTGGACCCTCGACCGACTGAGCCACCCAGGCGTCCCTTCTTTTTCTTTTGAACTGGGATTTCGTTTTTCTTGCTTCAACTCTCATTTTTTAAAATCCACCTAAAATCTGACTACTTTCCTACCCCATGAGGAATGTATAATGCAAACCACTGAATCTATGGTTTCGTAGGATTTGGCGGTATCTCAGGGTCATCATTATAATAAACACAATTATTACTGTATTGTTGGGCAGAATTTGTACTTGAGTTATATCATAAATGTCAACTTTAAATACATAAATCCTTATCTGCAGTAGGGCTACTGCCTGATGGATAACACTAGTGCTTTCTATCTGGCATTTCCTCTAACTGGTTAGGGTTTTAGGACACCAGGTGATGTGTCCTATTTTGATGACCACTCCTGCCTCTGAGCTTAATTTCTTACATTCCTCTGCTTTAGACCTCCATAACTCGGTATACTCCCCACACATACTCCCAATCCCCCTTTAAAAAATTCTGCCTCCTCTCCTTTCTACAGCGATTCATGCAACAGCTGGCTGGATACTGCAACATTCTCTAGCTAAATTCCTCATTTTTCAGATGAGGAAACTTAACAACAGAGAGCACCAAATTACAAAATCGATTAAGCAGACCCGGAAAACCAGGATGCAAAGGCACCACAGGCTTGGGCTGACCTTCAGACCTCCTGTTGGTGTGTTTCCTCTGATGAATGACTGGCAATGCAGCGTCTCCCTCCCTGGGGCCCCCAGCATTTCTCCGCAGGCTGACCTGACACAAACGCCCAGCACTGGTCAGCATCACCAGAGGTCTGACACACTTGGCTACTTTCCCTTCTGGCACATGAAGTTCCTGGGTTTCTCACAAAGTGACTTTGGGTCTTTTCTTCAAGGTACCACCCTTTGGTATTGCACAATGCAATTCCAGTGCGCATTGCTACAGTCCCTGAAGCCACACTCACCTGTAAAAATCGATCCATGATGGCGACGCACATGTACAGGGTCTCCTGCAGCAGCCTAAACTTGGAGTGGACTTGCACCAGCCAGTCCACCAGGATGGCGCGCATGCGTCCGTTTATCTCCCTTCCATCTAAGAAGCGTGGATTTATGGATTGCAGAACCTGGTGACGGAACGAAAAGTTTAAAAAGCTGACCTCATTTCCTTCCCAGCTGTGTGGTGAATTCCACATTGCTTGCACGACCAACACCCAGAGGCCCACTCACCTCAAGCTGCCTTAGATACTGGTAGATATCCTTAACGTAGTCGCTGCAGAGCTGAGGGTTCTCCCAGTCCTCATTATCAATATCCTCGATTTTGCAGAGCAAGGCATCAGAGAAAGCTTGGCAGAGGTTCTCTTCCTTCATGGAGATATCCTCCGCTGGGGGAGCAGGACCCTACATGGACAAATTAATGTGCAATAGCCTTAATCATTAATCATAGCCAAATACATGCAGAGGCAACTGGTTTTAAAAGTAGCATATGCATTTTTAAAATATGTGAAAGCCAAAACAAACAAATTTCAGAGTAAGAGGTGACTAACTCAAGATGTAGTAGATGAAGTTTTTAGGGATATACTCCTCTGTTTAAAGTTCTGTAATTTCACTCCAAGTGAAAACCTTAAGTCCTCACCATGGCCTGTGGGCCTGCATGATCTGGCTTTCTCCTCTTCCTCTGCTGACCGCCTCCTATTTCCCTGCCCTTGGTTTGCTTCACTGCAGCCTCCCTCACTACAAGTGGGCTCCCTCTTCACAGAAGCTCTTGTCCCTGCACCCCTGTGGGTAAACTTTTAGTTTAAAAGTTACCTTCTCAATTAGGTATATCCTGACCCCCCCATTTTAAATCACTGTCTGCCACCTATCACCACCCCCACCACATTTCATTCCTCTTACTGTGTTTTTCCCCATAGAACCTATAACCTTCTAACAGATTATGGAGTTTACTAATATATGATGTATATCATTTTCTGTCTATGTCTGCTAGAGTGTAAGCTCTATAAGCTTACATTTATTTAAACTGATTTTGGTCCCTAAGGTATCTCAAACACCTATATCATCCCTGACACATACTAGGTGCTCACTAAATATTTATGCAATGAAAGAAACTTAGACACCTGGGTTAAGAGACTCTTAGAGCTGATAGTTCACCTCAGCTCTAGCCTCTTCTGCGAGTATAAAGATTTCCTCTCGTAAACTAATTTATTCTAAATTGAGAAACTGGCAACTAAAAAGCAGAAAAGCACATTCCAGCCTATGAATAAAATAGGAGGAGGAAGCAAAGACTGAGTAAGCACACACCCAGTATTTTCTTATGCTGACTGGGTGGCTATTAAAGTCACACAAATTAAAAATTTATAAAGTAAGTTAAAAACAAGCATTTGGTAATGAAGTATAAATAAACCATTACTTTTCAAAAGAATAAGAGGTACTTCTCAAAGTAAAACCTAACAGGACTGCTAGACTATAAAGACTGGGTATTAAAGAAATAAAATATAGAAAAAGAAGGATGTATAATAAACAAACCATTTTAATTTATATTAAAGCTCAGTGATTATAGTTTCCAGTCTTAGAGAAGGATAAAACAATAACAGCAGCAGCAGGGAAATATTGATAGCAGTTCAGATCACATCCTTCCCTCAAACACCAAAGTTCTTAAACTGAGGAAGGGTCAGCTGAGCAAGTTATGCAGGTATGCATGCCACTTATTCAAGAATTTAAGAACCTCAAGGGACTAGAATGAATAAGAGCTACTTGGGGTACCAGGGAAAAACCTAGATAAGGTTACCAGAGAAGATGAGACCTCAAGGCAAATGAATAGGCAAAAGGTAGGCAAGTACAAAGTCCCAGAGGAAGCCAAGAAATAAAGGCAAGTCTTGGGAAGTACACGCTGATTTGGAATGGTGGGAGGTAGTGCATGATGTGAGAGAAGATGGGCTGGAAAGGTGAGCAAGAACCTTGCTAAGGAGTTTAGATTTTACCCGAAGGGAAGTGAACCCACTGAAGGAATGGAGCAAGAGTGGCTAGAATCAGAGGCACCTGGCTGGCTCAGTTGGTGGAGCAACAGACTCTTGAAATTGGGGTTGGGGGTTCGAGCCCCCTGTTGGGTGTAGAGATTACTTAAAAATAAAATCCTAAAAAAAAAAAAAAAAAAGGTGTTGGGGTGTTTGGGTGGCTTAGTCAGTTAAGCATCCAACTCTTGATTTTGGTCCAGGTCGTGATCACACAGTTGTGAGATTGAGCCCCGCGTCAGGCCCTGTGTTGGGTATGGAGCCTGCTTAGGATTCTCTCTCTTCTTCTCCCTCTGCCCCTGCCCTGCTCACACATGCAGGCACGCTCTATCAAAAAAAAAAAAAAAAGTAGCTAGAAACAGATGGGCATTTTTTTTTTTTAACGTTTATTTATTTTTGAGACAGAGAGACAGAGCATGAACGGGGGAGGGTCAGAAAGAGGGAGACACAGAATCTGAAACAGGCTCCAGACTCTGAGCTGTCAGCACAGAGCCCGACGTGGGGCTGGAACTCACTGATCTCGAGATCATGACCTGAGCTGAAGTCAGTCACCCAACAGACTGAGCCACCCAGGCACCCCCAGATGGGCATTTTAATAAGCACACATAGCTTGGTTAAGTTCAAGGATATGTTTATGTTTCAAGGACAAGGTTCATCACTCTCTCTCAGGGAAGTGCAGTCAGTACTAGGAGGCTGGTTTAAGGAGGCAGAGATTAAAGTCATGCACTGTGTGTGCTGCCTTAGCAGCCTGAAATGTTTCCCTGTGTCTATTCAGAAGTACACCTGAGTTTAGCCATATCCCAAAGCCACCAGGATGGCTAATTGCTCTGGCCCTTATTTAGAATTTCTTGAAAGCATTCCTTTTGGACTCCAACAAAATTTAATTATAAAATCCTGTGCAGACAGTAGCCTAAGCTCTAGGGGCCAACTATGTAATCCTACGTCCTAAAAAACTAAAAAGCTGGGGCGCCTGGGTGACTCAGTCAGTTGAGCCTCCAACTTCAGCTCAGGTCATGATCTTGCAGTTCATAGCTTTAAGCCCTGTGTCAGGCTCTGTACTGACAGCTGAGAGCCTGGATCCTGCTTCAGATTCTGTGTCTCCCTCTCTCTCTGACTCTCCCCCACTCATTTCTCTCTCTCTCTCAAAAAGAAAAAAAAAAAAAAAAAAAACATAAAAAAAAAGAACTAAAAAACTAAGAAACTAGTTAACTAACCATCACAAACTTTTGAATGACAAAAGTAGTCAGAATAAAAATCTTCAAATTAGATTAATGAATGAGTTCTGTCAGTTGTCAGAGACAACTGAAAAGTCATATCAAAAATAATAAAGATGTGAGATTTTGCTGAACTTGAGAAGCTCCTGTAGTAGATAGTCTGAGTAAAGGCCACTGAAATTCTACTACTACTGAGGTGGGTTTGTTGACAGAATGTATTACTATTAACATGCAAATGTGTAGGTGTTTGCATGAGTTTTGATAAAACAGACTTCCCTTATTTTTTTTTATTTATATATGAAATTTATTGTCAAATTGGTTTCCATAGACTTCCCTTATTTACTAAATTTATGATAAACGATGTCAATTAAGTACAAGAAAGGATTCCCAGAAAAACTGATGCTTCCGATTAGACAGCTCATGATTTGTAGCAGTAAGTGTGTACTTCTACACACAAAGGCACATACAATTGCAGAAAGGCAAAATCAAGTACTGGGAATAGCTTTAGGGAATACACTGAACTGGAATTTGGAGGGTAGGGATAGTAAGAATGAACTTTTTTTCAATGCTTATTTTATATTATTTATTTTTTGATAGAGTGTGAGCACACACATGAGCGGGGGAAGGGCAGAGAGAGAGAGTCCCAAACAGGATCTGCACTGCCAATACAGAGCCCGACCTGGAGCTCCATCTCATGAGCCATGAAATCATGACCTGAGCTGAAATCAAGAGTTGGACACTTAACTGGCACCCCCCAAATGAGCTTTTATTCTATATACCTGATGTATTTCTGTAGTATTTTGCTGTTATGACTATGTTTCTTGTGTTATTAAAAATAAAAAGCACTTTTTTTTTTTTTTTTAAGATTTTATTTATTGGGGCACCTGGATGGCTCAGTCGGTTGAGCGACCAACTCTTGATTTAGGCTCTCAGGTCATGATCCCAGGGTCGTGGGATCGAGCCCCGCACTGACCTCTGTGCTGAGCTTGGAGCCTACTTGAGATATTCTCTCTCTCTCTCTCTCTCTCTCTCTCCTTCTCCCCCACTCATGCTTGCTCTGTCTCTCAAATAAAAACTAAAAAAATAAATAAAAATAAAAATTTTGGGGGCGCCTGCGTGGCTCAGTCAGTTAAGCGTCCGACTTCGGCTCAGGTCATGATCTAGCGGTGTGTGAGTTCGAGCCCCGCGTCGGGCTCTGTGCTGACTGCTCAGAGCCTGGAGCCTGTTTCGGATTCTGTGTCTCCCTCTCTCTCTGACCCTCCCCCGTTCATGCTCTGTCTCTCTCTGTCTCAAAAATAAATAAACGTTAAAAAAAAATTTTTTTTAAATAAGAAAAAATAAAAATTTTGTTTTTAAGTAAACTCTACACCCAACATGGGGCCTGAATCTCCAACCCTGAGATCAAGACTCACACACTCCACTGACTAAGCCAGTCAGGCACCTAAAAAGGCACTCTTCTTTTAAAAAAATGTGAATAGTTGTGCTTATTTCCCTTTTATATCTTGTTTTTGTATTAAGGATAGTTAAGCCATAAAACATTCTCATAGCTGAATACTGACTATTGTAGAGGCCACTTTTATGCAACAGGCTTGAGCAATGAAACTTGATCAAGGTAAAAGGGCCCACAGTGACCACCAAGCTGAGTGCAAACAAGCAATGGAAAGGGGCTCATTAAGCAACTCACCATAGGTTCTAACTGACCAGTTACAACCAGGCACAGTTCCTAAGATTACTAAAAAAGGGAAAATTCCAAAAGTCTCATACTCCCTCCCTCCGCCCTTTAACTGTGGCCCCTCACCATCACCTCCCCACAGACAGTCTCTCCTTTGCTGTCCTGCCCAACTGCTCCCTTGCAGTGTGTTTTTTTTAATTTTTTTTTAAGTTTATTTAGTTTGAGAGAGAGAGGGAGAGTGCAAGTGGGGGAGGGGCAGAGAGAGAGGGAGAGAGTGAATCCCAAGCAGGCTCCACACTGTCAGCACAGAGCCCAGTGTGGGGATTGAACTCACAAACCCTGAGATCAAGAGCCAAAATCAAGAGCTGGGCGCTTAACTGACTCAGCCACCCAGGCGCCCCTCCCTTGTGGTGTATTTAATAAACTTTTCTCTCTTTTGTTCTGCCTTGGGTGAATTCTTTCACCACCCATGCCACCAGCCCCCACCCAAATGTCCCATGTTTG